AAAGAGCAAATAAGAGAATAGAAGAAGAATTCTAAGCAGACATATAAAGACTTATACAATCCTAGTAATTCAGATAATTCAAATTCTGAAATATTTCTTTCATTAATCATAAAGTATGTTTTTGTATCTAATAAAGAATATACTCAAGCTAATGCCATTTGGATACAAGCAGTTCTTGAAACTATTTTGATGAGAAATATCTTTCACCAAAGATTGATACGAATTTTATCGATATATAGATCCAAAAGCTAAATGCTGAAGATAATGAGGATGTATATATATTGTTTATTAATGATTTTACCAATTTATTTGAACTAGAGATGCAGATATAACTTCATAACTTGTTATAACTATAATGAATTACTACGTTTTTCTGTAACTTATTATAGTTATAACAAGCTACAGAGTTATACCTGCATCTCTAATTTGAACTTGTATTTTTTTTTTAGAACACTGTTTTGCAAAAAGGTTCTGCAAGTTCTTCTGCAAGTTTTCTTGCAATATCAGAAGCAGCGGTTCAAGAAAACTATGATGAATTATCTAGTAGTGATAATAATGAAAATGATCATAATAGTGATAGCAATTATGAGAAAATTAAATTGCAAGAACAATTTAAGTAATTTAATTAGCAATATATTATGTAGTAGATTAGTACTTAATGATTATTGCATATATTTCGTATATTAGTTATAGACTTTGCTATGTATTACTTAATATTTAAAAAAATATATTTTATAATAAATATATATTGCTTAACATACTAATATATATTTTTAAATAGAATTAGTTAATAAAATTAGTTGCTTAACACAATGATCCATATTTTTAAATAGTATTAGTTAATAAAATGTATTGTTTAATGCATTGTAAAATTGTTTTTCAATACTGTTAGTCTGTATAGAGTTTGTTGTCCTACTGATTGTAGTGTTAAATAACCATTAATATTAGTTAACACTTTTTAATATCTTTCAAAACTTCCTGATGAAATTGGGGTTCAAAACTTATTAATGACAGAAATTCAAAAATTTTGCTTGTATGATAGCTACTGTTTTTCAACGATCAGTTGAAACGGGATCTCTATAACTTTGGTAGTATCAACAAAATTGAAAGATCATATAACATATAAGTTATATAATT